CAGAGCGTTTGCTGTCAGGGCCCCGAGGCTCTGGAACAGCCTGCCCGAGGAAATCAGGTCGGCTGAGTCAGTGAACTCTTTTAAGTCCCTTCTTAAAACATACTTTTATAGGAGAGCCTTTCCCGATCTTATTTGACTTTATTTTATCCCTTTTATTTTATTGTATTTTACTAATTTTATATTAAATTTTCATGCTCTTATCTTTTTTTTGTATTATTCTTTACACTTGTTAAAGCACTTTGTAACTTGTTTTTGAAAAATGCTCTACAAATAAGGATTATTATTATTATTATTATTATATAAAATATTGGATTACTGAAAAGTGTTTCCGCCCGGTCTCGAACCGGGGACCTTTCGCGTGTTAGGCGAACGTGATAACCACTACGGAAACTCTGTGAAAATGATGCGTTCAGGAACTTCCTGGAAAGTGGATCAATATCAAGACGTAACCTGCTTCAGTACATCCTCAGGCAGCAGACGGCTGACTCCGGTCCACCACCTGCTACATCAGCTAGAGTCACCGCTACATTGGCTGTTAATGTAAACATTTTAATGTAAGTTACTTAATACACAAATTAACATTGTTTTGTTTCATCTCCTAGTGGTGGAGGAAGATGAAGAGCTCAAAAGAGAGATGTTAAATCTGTCACCATCTAAATTTGATATACTGAAATTTAATATAGCCTACTGAAACGTGAAAAAAAATATCATTATACTGTTACGGGACAGGATAAAAGTCTAATGTCCCCTGTGTCTCAGCCGTGGCCCTCAACAGGTCTTTCTCCATCAGTGTGGAGGGAGGATTCTGTTTTCAGCAGAATTCCCCTTCCATTACTATTCTGTCATATAGTTTGTTATTTTGGTCGTGTTCTGGCCTCTTCTAATGTTTGTGTTCTTTATTTCCTTTGGTCGAAATGCAGCTTATGGCATTTTCACATAAGTCATCCTCTTATAACCTCAGGGTATTTCACATTCTGACGAATCAAAATCTTTTTTTCACTCTCCCTACTCATGTTAGGCATTGTCAGGTAATGATAACTGTGTGAAACCTTTTTTAAAGCACACTGAAAGCCAGTGTCCCAAAGTTCTGGGATATAAAGAAGATCTGGGAACAGCAGCTCCATCTCTTCCTGAAGGTAAATGATTTATTTTCCTAAATGCTGTGAGAAAGAATATATTAAACAGGTGCTGCTTTTTAAATGTGTATATCTAACCTGCCTTTCCTGTTTGCATGTAACCATCATAGATTTATCACCACAGAATAATTCCCCTGTGGAAGCAAAGAAGACAATGTTCTCAGTGAAGGTATGAATTTCTATGACACTGATATAGAGCTGTAGTGTTTTATTGTGTTTGTGTTTTAAAGCTCTGCCAGGTCCAGCGCCTCCTGTCAGGCAGTTCACAACCTCAGCCCCTTTAGATACCCCGCACCAGCCAGCAGCCTCTGTCGCAGGCTGCGATGAGGATTTTGCACCCACCTCAGCCTGAGCTCATAGACTTAATCTCTGAGCTGCCTTCACCAAAGTACTTTCAGCTTCATCCATTCTTCATCTGGAAGCTGGAGCACACTGTCATGGAGAGGCTGAGAAACAACTATAACTTGCCCTGTCTGCATGGTTGTCACTAAATAGATTTCAACACACATTTAACAACAAAGGATTTTCAAGATAATACATTATGATATAGGCCTACACATTAATAAATGAAAGATAAAAAAGTTTATCTTCATATGAGCACCATCAAAAGCGCCTACTACTCCTGTATTGCCGGCTATTTGCATGAACTGTGTTTGCTTCTGTCGGATTACGGGGGGTGTAGTGGAGCTGTAAGTGCTAAAATTGTTTCCATGACTATTCGGCTTATTGATGTTTGTGACGGCCAAAATAATCAGCATTGCTGCGTTTGTCCTGTGGCAAATAAACGAAGCGTCATCATCACCTTCAATTTAACTGAAAACGCATTACTGCATAAAGTCAGTGGTGAGATGACGTCCCTCACCAACTCGCTGACGTTTATGCCTGCGCTGTCGTCAGAATTCTTCCTCTCCTCTCCGCATGTCTCTGTCTCCACAGCGCCATCACAAGCACTACTGGCAGCTCCTAACCACTTGAGAGACCTCTCGAGCTGTCTTAAATAACTGGGAGAGTAAGAGTGATTCTCAGCTTTGAGAAATTTGATAACTTGCTTTTATTCTTAAGTTTAAAAGTAGGAGTAAATTTCATGAATTCTCAGCACTTAAGACTAAAATGGCACTTTGTGCCTCAAGGACCAAGTTTAATAGAGACATAACCAGCAAAGTTAGACTTGGTCCACTGCATGCAGTGCTTTACCAGGGAGTGTGTCTTAGAACATCATCTTCTGTTCAGCTCTTTCTGCCAGTTCCTCTCTGCAGCCTTCATTGTTGTGGACTAGAGTGACCTCCAAAGGTTCAAGGAGGTATACACCTTCTGCAGAAACTCCCCTGCTAATCCCACCAAGCAGCACCTACGAGAGCACTGCAGGACAAAGGTGCCACAGCCCATAGAGCTGCTGCAGAGAGTTGAAGACATCACTTCCACCTGGCAAAGGACACCAGTGATGTGCTCCTCTTCAAGGCCTCCATGTTGAAGGTGCGGAGGATTCAGCGCATCCACATCCTGAGAGGCTGCCTGAGCAACCCTGAGGGGAGGGATCCTCTACAGGTATGGCGGCACCTTGCAGCTCAACTACAATAAGGGCGAGGGAGCTTGCTGTACCTATTTGGATCCTTGTGAGGGGCCCCTCTCAGCAGGAGGGCTTTCACTTTCACCAAGCCCAGTGACAGGCAACCGGGTGTCCAGTGAACTTTTCCAGGTTTAAAATCCACCGTCAGATTTATTTATATAATCCACAATAACTAATCTGTCTCAGCTGGCATTATATTCTGTACATCATGACAACATTATAAGGACAAATAGAGTCAAGTCAAGACTGTAGGCCTATGTTCTGTGACAGATTCCCAGTAGTTATTATAATGGGTATAAATATCTACATTAGTGGTATAGGGATGATATCCTACAGGCCTAATATAGAAAATAATAATATGGTTCACAGCAGGATCGTAGTGGGAGAGAGTGACCTATGATGTGCAAAATCTTGATCAGATTAAGTTGGTAATTCTCCTTCAGGCAGGTCCATAAACAGACAGGAGAGGAAACAGCGCCACATGGTGGTGTAAAAATACACAGCTGGTGCAAGAAACCCCGCAGAATGAGTTTCAGTCATACAAGCTCCATGAATCTGCTTTTCCTCGAGGACACTGTTGCACCTTCCTCGTTAGTATAGTGGACAGTATCTCCGCCTGTCACGCGGAAGACCGGGGTTCGATTCCCCGACGGGGAGAAACGTTTATTATTTAACAACTGGATGGAAGTCGAGCCTGAAGATCTGATTCTGACAACATTCAGACACAAAATGAAGATCTGCCACGAACCTGGTCACATTTACAGGAGAAGATGATTTGGATTAGTCGACATGATTAGACAATTTAAAACACAATATGAAGACTCATCATGTATATGGCCACTTATCTACAAGCCCACACTTCAAATATTCTGCTGCATTAACTTTGTTTTGTCTTTAGATTATCGTCAGTACTTTTCTTATTGTGTCTCCTGAGAATTCACTGTTTCCATAGGACATTGTTTCTGATCGGAACAGGGATCTTTAACTAGCCTACTTTTGTTCAAGGGCCAGAATCTCTCTAAGCAGACACCGTGAGGGACGGACTTTCAATTATCTTAGGATAAATTACCATATCAGTGTTTAAAATTTTCATTTTTACAAATTACTTTTGTTCCGTGAACAGACTCTTAAAAATATGGTAAATCCATAATGGTAACTAGCCAATGTTGGGTCAGATGTGCGACCAGGCTGGGCCAGTTAAGCCTGGTCTCCACCTTCACCAGCTTTATAAACTTAGTCAATAAGTTTGCAGTCAAAAACTTCTCTGGACACGGTCAAGAGTCGGTGCAAAAAGAGTTTATTCCAACACAGGACACATAAACCCGGAGGATGAAGTCAATCCTATGGTCTGTAGACAGCCTTATATATCCCTTCTGGGCTTGTTTCACCCCTCCTTCCTCTATGATGAATTTCTTATCTTCTGTTTTTATGCTGTTCACACATGTTGTCCCACTTTAGAAGTTTTCCAGCTTTCATTCATCATTCTGTGTTGTTGACTTTCTATATTTTTATATTACAGGATAAGAAACTCATCATTTACATTTTAACTCAAATGTCACCTTTTTCAGCATTTATGTGTATATCATTTGACAAACAGTTATATTTACTAAAAAATTAGTATAGGAATAACATGTGCTGTGCCATTCAAGTATGCATAGTCTCAGTGTCTACTGTCAATGCTCCCACTCAGGGATCTTAACTTTGTTACTGCATTCATGATTACAGCACAGCATAAGACACATCTCAGTAATGTTCAAAGAATAAGAAGTATGTACGGATAATTAATAAACTACCTAATAATGCTTAATGCTAATTAAGGATAAAATGTTTAAAAATGATGACCTGCCCTCTGCTGATCATGCTACTTTCACCAAAAACATCTCTTTGTGGAATAAGCCGGTGTCTTCTGTGCTGTGTGCTAAAGACAGGACATTCCTACAGTGATTTAGGCTAGCCTTATTAAAATACATGGAGAGAAGGATCAGAGGAAGGAGCTCTTGAGCTTTAGTGAGGTGGCTCTTAAAAGAGCCATTGTGGTGTAAAGAGGTGTGGGGGGAGTTTAAGCCCTCTCTCCGGTGCCATTGAGTAACTCTGGCAAGACGAAGAAATTCTATTCTCATTGTAGTTCGATGAAGTTAATTGTAGTTATTGATTTTAATACTCTGAAAGATTATTTTTATAGTATAGTAGTTTTTCCACATTGTGCCTTTAATATTTGTTCAAGGTTTCATTCTACTAAGTAACATTTCCAGTATTTTTAGCAAGCTGATGTAAATACTGATGTTTGTGATTAAACTGCCTAAAATTATTATAAGCAGCAGCAGAGGAAGGAGCTCTTGAGCTTTAGTGAGGTGGCTCTTAAAAGAGCCGTTGTGGTGTAAAGAGGTGTGGGGGGGGTTTAAGCCCTCTCTCCGCGGATGCGTCGGGCCAGCTGGATGTCTTTGGGCATGATGGTGACCCTCTTGGCGTGGATGGCGCACAGGTTGGTGTCCTCGAAGAGGCCGACCAGGTAAGCCTCGCTGGCCTCCTGCAGAGCCATGACGGCGGAGCTCTGGAAGCGCAGGTCGGTCTTGAAGTCCTGAGCGATCTCCCTCACCAGGCGCTGGAAGGGCAGCTTGCGGATCAGCAGCTCGGTGGACTTCTGGTAGCGGCGGATCTCTCGGAGAGCCACGGTACCGGGCCTGTAGCGGTGGGGCTTCTTCACTCCGCCGGTGGCCGGGGCGCTCTTACGGGCAGCCTTGGTGGCCAGCTGCTTCCTGGGAGCTTTTCCTCCGGTGGATTTACGGGCGGTCTGCTTGGTTCTGGCCATCGCGTCTCGTTTCTCTCAACAGGAGAAAAGTGTAGTGAAGAGAGGAGCCGCGCTGCTCTTAAACTGCGGGACCGGCTGCGAAGCGGTGACGCTGCTTCAGACCTCCGGCTCCTGATTGGTGAGGGGCCCCTGCTGGAGCTCAGCACCGCCTAGAGGAGCGACCCACCGCCTGAATCTCCGCCGCTTATTGGCGGAAAATCCCTTCAAACTTTCCGCCTAAACGCAGAGCGGGCCGCCCTCTGCTGCTCTGCAGGAAGCCTCTTTCCTGGTTGGTCTGGAAGAAACCGTCCCGCGCGCTGCGCGGACATATAAAGGAGGGTTTTGGCTGCCGGGGCCACATTTTCTTTGAGTCTCTGCTCTAGAAAGATCACACGATGTCTGGAAGAGGTAAAACCGGAGGCAAAGCCAGAGCAAAGGCAAAGACCCGCTCCTCCCGCGCCGGGCTGCAGTTCCCCGTCGGTCGTGTCCACAGACTGCTGCGTAAAGGAAACTACGCCCAGCGCGTCGGTGCCGGAGCCCCCGTGTACCTGGCGGCGGTGCTGGAGTACCTGACCGCTGAGATCCTGGAGCTGGCCGGAAACGCCGCCCGCGACAACAAGAAGACGAGGATCATCCCCCGTCACCTGCAGCTGGCCGTCCGCAACGACGAGGAGCTCAACAAGCTGCTGGGCGGAGTCACCATCGCTCAGGGCGGCGTGCTGCCCAACATCCAGGCGGTCCTGCTGCCCAAGAAGACCGAGAAGCCCGCCAAGAAGTAAACAACAACAACCACAAACGACACAACGGCTCTTTTAAGAGCCACACATCTCTAACTAAAGACACTTTCTTCAATAACAGACTCCCCCTTTTGCTGACACAAAATATATTTTAGTTTTTTTTTTTTGATCAGTTGACAAATTAATTTCAAGTTTTTAAAGATTCTTTGTCTTGTTTAATAAAGTCATGCTTAAGGCAACACAAAGTAAAATAAATGGCTACAGTTAACAGACTAACTTGTATTTAATCAAACGTATCTTTTAGGAACTCTCCGGCTCCTCCATGTCATAAAATCCCTTCTGTTAAAATTAGACGTTATTGTTGATCTAGTATTTTCCTACTTTAACCAAATACTATAAAAATCTTTCTAAACTTATTTTAAGGCTCCCCTTAATGTAAATATATAAATTGAACACAATAAAAATGTATACCTTCTTCTAAATGACAAAATAAATAGATCAAAATGGCTTTGATCAAATAATGCAATTTTTTTTGATGAAACAGGACATTTTTAATTCAGTGAGACGAGGGGCAGTCAAAAGAAATGCTTTATCCACGGTCAAATCATACGTGGCGGCCATCTCTTCCAGCCACGAGGGCTTTGGAGAGAGATCGGTTTTTGCGCATCCGCTGGTTCAGCGTTTTTTAAGAGGAGTGAGAAGACAGCGGCCTGTCACGCGCCCCTTGGCGCCACAGTGCTCTGAGCAATCCCCCCTTTGAGCCACTGCCGCAAACTTCTCTCAGACTGCTGTCTCTGAAGACAGCCCTCCTTTTGGCACTGACCTCTGCTAAGAGGGTGAGCGATCTGTGCGCTCTCTCAGTCGCTCCATCCTGCCTCGCTATCAGAGCTGACGGGAGCTCCGCCACCTTGAGGCCGAACCCAGCGTTCGTGCCCAAGGTTATAACTAGCTCCTTCAGGTCACGGATTATTTCCCTGGAAGGGTTTTTCCCTCCTCCTCATCGAAACGAGGCAGAGGAAGCATCTCATCGTCTCTGCCCGGTGCGCGCGTTGTCTCATTATGTAGAGCGCACGGCTGCCCTCAGAAAAACTCAACAGCTGTTTGTTCACTACAGAGAGCATTCACGAGGCAAGTCTCTGTCAAAACAACGGTTGGCTCATTTGCTGTGTGAGGCCATCACACAGGCGTACGTTGCGGCTGGGATGGACCCCCCACCCGGCATCCGTGCGCACTCGACAAGAGCCGTGTCCTCCTCCACAGCGCTGTTCAGCGGGATGGCTGTGGAGGATATTTGCACAGCGGCATCATGGGCTTCACCCTGCCCCTTTATCCGCTTCTATTTACGCGATGCATCGGGGTTTTCTCTAACGCACTCGGTACTGAATGTTCTGGAGACCAGGCGCGACGCTGCTGGCTCGGGGCACATTACGCACACATAGGCTTCCCTGTAAGGAGCCGGTAAGGCTCCTCTTGCCACGGGCTGTTGGGGCTCTTTCTGTCTTAGTTGCGCTCCAGTTGTACTGCCACAATGCGTAACAACCGTCTTTACTGCTTTTTAATATACTTTATTAAATTATTCAAACAGGGATATTTAACAATAATACAATCAAATAACAGTTTTGTTCACTATCAACAATAATACATAAGTTGAACACAATAATCTAATAAAATACAACAGGTTCTCTTAACAAGATACAGCTTATTAAAGGTTAAAGTTTCATGGAGTGCGTTTCTTTTGTCTGATGTCCAGTGTTTTTTGCCTTTTCAGTTCTGTTTAAGTACAACATCACTTGGGATGTTGACTTGGTGAAGGACCAAAAAAAATCATGGTGCAACCTGGGTAGTTTTTCTAGAAATACTCACTACATCACTGCATTATAATTTACATTTATATTAAAACCAAAACCTGCCATTTCCCCCCACACATCTTTAGACCTTTGGCATTTTAAGAGTAGGTGTTCAACAGTTTCATCTTCATCACAGTCATCAATAGGACACTTTTTAGTTGTTACAAAGCAGCTCCATTTGACAACTGCTCTGACTGCTAATCTGCCAACTGACACAAGCCACATGACATCTCGCTTACTTTCAGAAATGTTCTTATTAAAAGAGTTTTTAATACACACCTGGGCTTCAGTTTCATCTAATGTTTGTATGGGAAGACACCACCATACCAGTTTTCACTCACTAGGGAATATATATTTTTACTTGACATTCCAATCGACTTTAGTCACAAAATCACTATATAGAAGTTTATAATATGGAACAGAGCATCTTGCACGTCCCTTTTTCTTAGTCCAGCTCAAGGCTTCACCGATCCACATCGCTTTCCTTTTAATGCTTAGAGCGATGTTCTTACAGAAAGTTGCCTTCAGTTTTAAACCCATATCTATGGCGCCAAGGCCTCAATCTTTTTTACTTTTGTACAGCAAGTTCCTTGTTGTGACTTCCCTGGTGGTTCCCCATATAAAATTTACTGCTAGTTTATTTTTATTTTTTTTATGTCTGATCTTTGGGAGGATAAAATGTTGCTAAAAACAATAATTTAGATAAAACAAATGTCTTTATTATTAAAATTCTGGTTTTATAACTGAGTGATTTATTAACCCATTTCTGTAGTTCCTCTTTTATTTCCTTTTCTTTATCATCCCAGTTGTGTTCGTAACCGTAACACCTAAAACCGTCATATCATTTTTATCTTGTACATTAATCAAAGGGCGGGTGTCATCCCTTCCAAACCAAACTCCTTCTGTTTTGTTTTGGTTTCATTTTGCACCAGATACATCTTCATACAATTCGAGGTGTTCATTTATTATACCCATTTCATTTTGATTATTATATCCATTTCATTTTGATTATTAGCAACAGTGATGTCATCAGCATATGCCAAAACCGTCCTTACTGTTCCCTCAACATAAGCCCGCAGTGTGCGTCTGTGTGTGCTTGTACTTGTGCTTGAGTTTTGTGTGTGTGTGTGTGTGTTGTTCCACTCTCACGCCTGCTCTGCTCGTTTTTGGGGCTGGTTACAATGCGTAACTCTCGTTCCAATTCCCTCACAGCAGCAGGTGTAAGGCATGTGAGTGATGTATTCAGCCATCCTGTTGTCTGGTCTAATGCGGATGGCAATCACCATGTATCACAGTTCCTGTATAGAGCATGTTTTTCACATACTTTTGTACATACTCAGATTTTTACTGTTCTCCAAAGTATACAATGAGGGAGGGGCTTCAGGAAAGCTGCGTTTGGCACCGTCCAGGGCCGTTAAATAAGAGAGTTACGACACTCCAATTGACTTCTGTTGGAACTGTGGAATGCGGAAGTAACGCGCGTCATGGGGCAGCGCTGTGCCCCGTTCATTTCAGTGTTTCTGAAGTACGCTGCCTGGTAAGTTGATGAAATTACTGCATTTGTTGACATTTTAACTCCTTATCTGTCCTCTCATGAATCTTGTCAATAGTGGTATTTTATGTAGCCAGTTTTAGTCAAGGTTTATCGGAAGATATTAACTGTTAGATTATGTAATTGCAGCTAGCTAACGTTAACGTGAGTAACGTTAACACTTAACCAGCTAACGTGACCATACCAAGATGTCAGTTAGCCAATATTTACCTCAAATATAAAGTTATTAGTTAGTTAGCATACATCGTTTATCTTTGGTTATTAGATTTGTTGTAACTCAGTATAGTAGTAGTAACGTTACACGTGATTACGATGAACGGTAAGTTAGCTATCTCAGCTAGATAACTTGGCTAGCTTGTATCTAGCGAGGTTGTTCCTTGGTTAATTCAGTCATTACACACAGTGTTTGTTAGACAGTGCATCGGTGACGGGTAATAAGATCAGTGGCATATGATGACAGAGGTCATATTTTGGACATCCCTGTGACTAATAAAGGTAAAAACGCGATACTGTAGTGATTCAGAATTATCATGAAAGTAGCACATGTACACTGCTGGTGACACATTGAACTCTTGTCTGAATAGGCATTTGTTTCAGGTGTATGAACACCTAGATAAAGTAAGCCTCAAGTTCCAGCTGTCAAACAGCTGAGATTTAATTTGCAAGGCTGTCCAAAATCAACTATATGTGTGTGTTGTTGTTTTGTTTGTTTTCAGCAGGACTGATTTTGAGCAGAGAGTGGAGCGATAAGCAGGCTGCTGGAGCTTGCAGAAATGTCTGTCCACCAACCAGGGCACTCTTCAAGTTCTGAACCAGATGTGGGACATCCGGCATGAAATATAGCCTCCTGTCTGGTCTTGCAGGATGTTAGAATTAAAAAAAGTTTCTTTGAAGACATCACATTCAAGGGAAACTTACCTATCCTCCTTGGATATAAAATATAATAAAAGGTATTGTTGAATGCAATTGGTTGCTTTGTATATTTTGCACTGTTTACCAAAACTTCTTTCTTGACTTAAACTAAACAGCTTCTGGCATTCATTGATATTCACTTGTTGTGCATGTGTATGTGAATGTTTGATATACTAGAAGAACTGGGCTGAAGTATTTGTCAGTGTTAAAATCAAACTGTTTGCAGAGTCTGGTGACCTACATCTGTGCATGAGACAGCTGAGCAGGTGGGCAGGCAAACACTGCCAAACATTTGGCTCATACCATCATTACTGTAGCACCGCCACAAATGGGAATTATACATTTAAAAATCAACATTCAACATGCTGTTCTAGGACATTGTGTGCAATTTAAATTACATCAGTTTTCAACCACTTCATTTATTATATTACAGTAGGGTGATATTAACTATTTCACAATCCATACTAAAGTAACTGAACCAGTATTATTAATAACGCAGCTGCTGTCCTGGAGAGAAATGTCACAATTTGAGGTGATTGCATTATCAGAATCTGTCTTCCTGTCACTGTTAATCAAACGCATTTAAACACAAAACAATTCAATGGTAAATTATAAACATTTATTATTTGAGTTATCTAAAAGGTCACATTATGTAGGACTCATTACACAATATTAGCTTTGTTGCTCAGTAGGTTTCTACAGAATAGTACCCATTAGTTAGAAATACCTACAGAATATCTTTATTTTAAAGTCCCACATTGTAACCCACTTATATCCTAATATCACATATTGTTTCCTTGTACCTACATGAACGTATCAGTACTGAATTACAGTCCTACCCATGTGGATATCATCAATATTAGAATTACAGCTTACCAAACTCTTTCAGGCACACAGTGTGTAACTTCAGTACATTTACTCATTAAGCACTTTATTAAGAAATTTCTTGAATGGCACCTTTTTCTTCTGCCCACTACTTATCAGGGAGGAATATATATTAGCACTACAATTATTTGAGATCTTTATTAATAGTTACTTAGGTATTAAAAGTTTTGTTATAATTTAAACTACCCAACTGTTTTTACAAGCAGAGCTGAAATGATTGGTTGGAAAATAATTTGGCAGCTATATTTAAGTTAAGCTAATAGGCCAAAGTTTTCATGGTTAAACTTCACATATGTGAGTATTTGCTGCTTTTTTCTTTATCGATTTACCTTTCTTTGTACTATTTTTGAGGTTTTGACTCTTGGTTGGACATGAAAAGCATTGTGAAATTGCTGCTTTGGGCTCTGGGTGGTATTTCTTACTATTTTCAGATTTTTTACAAACCAAACAACCAGGTTAACCCATGATGAAAATAATTCTTTGCAGCCGATACAAAATATTTGAAAATGAGCTCCACCGTAACAACTACAACAGTAGAATCCTGCTTTTACATGAATACATGGGAAATAATAACAATAATATAGGAATATATAATAATATAACAGTCACAGGACATATTTCATAGTGTGATATTAGTACTTTTATTGAATTAAAGTATCTGAATAATTTCTCCACCGCTAAAATAAATAAACTTAAATCTGTGTTACTGTGTTTATCTTTTGACCTTCACATCTTTATTCCCTTCTCACAGAGATGTTTAATTATTTCTTGTGTGGCGCATGCGCAGTCTTGTTTAAATCTCAGCCAATCCTGTACGAGGAACAGCACAGTCTCATTTACATCAAGCGCATAGAAATGTGCCGCCTCATCGCTTCAGACTTATTCGTTGAGAACTATAACGAAGTTGAAGATGCCTGATCCAGTTAAGGCTCCGAAGAAGGGCTCAAAGAAAGCCGTCTCTAAGAGCGTCTCCAAGACCGGCAAGAAGAAGAGGAAGACCAGGAAGGAGAGCTACGCCATCTACGTGTACAAGGTCCTGAAGCAGGTCCACCCCGACACCGGCATCTCGTCCAAGGCCATGCTGATCATGAACTCGTTCGTGAGCGACATCTTTGAGCGCATCGCCGGCGAGTCCTCCCGTCTGGCTCACTACAACAAGCGCTCCACCATCACCTCCAGGGAGATCCAGACCGCCGTCCGCCTGCTGCTGCCCGGTGAGCTGGCCAAGCACGCCGTGTCTGAAGGCACCAAGGCCGTGACCAAGTACACCAGCTCCAAGTAAACCCGCTGTTACACCCAGCAACACAAAGGCCCTTTTCAGGGCCACCCACTGTTTACACGAAGAGCTTTATTCCTACTGAAGTCGCCTACTAACTACCCCAAGTGTTAAATTATTACTAGTGATGTGGATACCACTTAATACCTAACTGATCCAATACTAAGTAATGCCTAAGCTGGTATTGCCAATACCAATAGACTCTACTAGGTTTTTTTTTGTTTGTTTTTTTTCCTAGTTTAATGTCACCCCCTCCACCCTGTAGACTTGCCAATTAAAAGTAGTCATAAGACATCAAACTAATGTCATATTCTTTAATTATAATAAAAATATCCTGCTCAGAACTGCCACTTCATAACATCATCTTATTTGGACTTAATCTCAGATGTTTAACAAAGTATTTCACTTTTTTTGCACACAGATCAACATTATATTCACAGCTAAAATACAGCCAGACGTGACTGTTTCTACAGTCAGCCAGAGTCCGTATTCAACTGTGGGAAATGGAAAGACCTGAGTGGCTCACTTCAAAGAAGCTCTGTCACAGACCCGTAGGGCAAGCTTGACTTTGACAGGCGGATTAGACAATCCTGATGACAGTAAGATACTTATAATAAAACACACTCACTCCAGATGACTGAGTTTAGATATCGATCGTTTTCTATGAGTATCGATCCTAGAGCAGGAAACGTTGGTATCAGAAATATTTATCTGCACATCACTAATTATTACCTCTGTATTACGCTCCTTGCCCTCTATACGATTTCCTTTTTGTTATATTTCATGATGTACACTTCACATCTGAATTGTGGATGGAAACAGAAGTGAGTTCTAAGCATTCACAATAATCAACACACTGATCTAAAGATGATGCTGACGTAAGTCTTCTACAGCATTTGTAATCAGAACATAAGGACACTTTAACATGCAGTTAAAACAGTGGCTTCCAGCTTTATTGCCCTTAATTACTTTTCACTTTTTGCTATGCGACACTTGATTTTCCTAATGTTTTCTATTTTCCCTTGAATTTAGACCAGCTAAGAAAACAGTCTGCAGGTTGTCACTTTTTTGTGATTGTACACACTTTAAAACAGGAGCAAATGTAATTGAAACACTTTTTACAATATTAAACATCATACAGATAATAATCTACTGATGAAGAATTTAAAGTTTATAATCGATATTATGTAAATGCACTAGTTTCAGTCAGATGGCAGAAAAACAGTAAACACACAGGAGTTCCAGATATCTAAATTTATTGCTTGTAGTTGTAGGTACTGACCTCGATTTGTATTTGATAATTGTGACCAGATTCATGTCAGATCTCCGTTTGTGTATGAATGTTGACAGAATCAGATCTTGAGGCTCGACTTCTATCCTAACTTGCCACAACACCAGTGAAGCTGGGGCTCCATTTTTTCAGCAAGTGTTCCTCTTCCGCCACTACACACATACACGCTACGCCTACACATGAGCACTGATGCCCCAGGGTTAGGGTTACAATTTTAGATTTATTCACGCCCTTTAAAAACAGTAGGCTAATTGAAACTTTTTTCTTTTCACGTGTTTATTTACAGCATAAAATGTTGAAATGTACATTGTAATAGGCTGTATATTCACTTATTGGGAGAAAATTTGATATAAAATCAGACCAAAATGGCATTATCCTTGTTTCTCTGCTGCGCCCAAGCATTGAATCGACTATTCAGGGTCAGTCCTACAACTTCCGTTGCTATTTTTAAGAAAAGCTGCCTCAAAATCATTTTAGAGCGCAACAATCAGTAAAAAAGCCAGTGAAATCCTGGAAGGACTGAATATCATGTCTTGTCTCGTCACACCCCTACTAGTTAAGTGGTTCATGGTGTTTGTTGTAATTCTATTTGTTGTTATGTAGTACAGAATATAAAGGCAGCTGAAACTGATTAGTTATTTTGGATTATATAAATAAATCTGATGGTGGATTTTGAATCTGTGTGTGAGTGTGGGCACTAATAAGCTGAATCTGATTTTCTGAGCTTTCAAGTTATAAAAGAGAGACATTTCTCCCTAAATGCAACCCAATAAAACCCCAATAATCACATTTACACACCTGTTTTCATATAAATCAAATTATTAAACTACTAAATGCATAACAAGGTTTAATAACAAGTTAAAACAGAATTCATTTTATTTACACAGCCTGCAGTGTAATTTTAAAATTATACCATAATAGAAGCATCAGACATGGTTTGTTTTATGAACATAAACATTCATTCCACCCAAAATATTTAGCCGTAACCCATGAACAGACAGCTGGTCTGGACGCAAACTGAAGCTGATTAAAGTTATTTCAATAAGTCAGGTCTCTGTACAGCAGAAGAGAGAAACAGGACTTTCTGCTGTCAGTTACTTCATGTTAAATGTAACATTTGGCGGAAACGGAAAGTCTTTTCCAGCAGATCCATCTGTGACAGGAGTCCATTCAACTGACTGAGTCACCGACAGCAACCGTGTGTTTACCGCCACAGAAAACGTCTCTGATTGAAACTAAATTAATCACATTATTGCAGCGATTTCAATTTTATTCTATCCCCACACGTCTCTGCTTACTGGGAAACCACTGTCATATTTAATACAAATTCTTTTTAGTCATTTTTAGAGACGAAATGTGAAGAAAACTCGCCGCGAGTTGTACAAAGTGATGGTGTGTTGGAGAGGTTTGAAGCATCCTGGGATTAAATGAATGAGTCCTGGTCGCCAAACACGAACTCAGTCTGAAGCGCAAACTGTTTTCCCCTTATAACAGGATAATTTTCTCATGATCTTGAGAAAAAAGTTATATAACAGTGGTTTAATAATTTCATTAATAGGCCTAGAGCACAGGACTTGAGGGTTTGATACTCATGGAAAACCA